CGGGGGGGGGGGGGATTTCCTCATTGCAGGAGCAAGTGCTGTTTCAGGTTTCTTCGCCTCAGCTTGTAGTTTACCCTTTGACTATGTAAAAACCCAGATTCAGAAAATGCAACCCGACGCCGAGGGAAGATATGCCTACACCGGATCTCTTGACTGCGCCATGAAAACCCTAAAATCCGGTGGACCTCTGAAATTCTACACAGGTTTTCCGGTTTATTGCGTTAGGATCGCTCCTCACGTCATGGTAAACACTTCCCTCTTTCTCGCCTCGCCCTTTTTACCGTTTCTTCTTTTTCCTGACATCTTATTGACACCATTGCTGGCTTCGGGTTTTTTTTCTTCTCAGATGACATGGATCTTCCTGAATCAGATCCAGAAACTGGAAAAGAAGGCAGGCTTATAATAAAATGTTCTTTGTGCATTACCAAAGCTTCCATGAGAGACAGAAACTTCAGTGAATAAAATAGAGCAACAAACAAGAGCAAAAGTCCAACCACATTGGCTTCTGTTTTTTTTTTCCTTCTCTACTCCTTTGTTTAGGTTTTTTTTATTAGTATTGTTTCGATGGTTTCAGATTATTATAACCGTTAATTTTGATGTTTTGGCCTGATAATGTTATAATCCAACTAGAGACATGCATGCGTCAATTAGAATTCACTTCTAAATTTGGACGTCATTTTATTGCCACGTTTTACCTATTTTTCTAAAAAAAAAGTGGTTTTGTTTATGTCAAAGAATTACTGAAAGAACGAATAAAGAAAGAATATCTGAAGTTGGGACCAAACAAAAAAAGAAAACTTTCGACATTTTTACTTAAATAGCCATCATAAAACAAATGTAAAAAGAAAGAAAAGTTTCTGATAAGAAAAAAAAAAGAATGTTTCAGATTTTAAGGATATATCTGAACATATTTGAGGTTTTAAGGTACGGAATCCATGGTATATGGACATATGCCCCAATTACTCATTTGCCCACAAATAATCCGACCAACGAGGACGAGAACGAGATTGAGGTACCAGAAAAAACTGGTGGGTAGTCAAGGGCAAGGAAAGAGAGAGGAGGAGGCCTAGACAAATAATCATAAGCACATTAATTATAGTAAATACATTACAATGATCAAATTGCTATTGATTTGGTTTAAGCATCGGCAGATTAATTTCGCTGTAATTTGTTTAGAACATAAAGTTCAATTAAACCATAGTCAATAACTTGTTTTGTGAGCTTTGAATAACAGAATCGCATTTCCAAACCATACACGCAGCTACAACAGTTGGAGTCCTTTCCGCTCCTTGTTGCGTCATTTGTTCTTCAACAAGCCAAAGCCTTTGACTGATGAAGACAGAGAAACGGAGGCAAGGGGAATACAATTCAGACAAATGGACACTAACAAAACCTCTGATCCGGAAAGCGTCTCTTATCCAGTTCGCAACATAGAACAAAGACCAAGCCTAGGTTTCAGCCATTACAGAAACAAGCCCACCACCACCACCATCATCATCATAGGAGCGCACACGCTGGTTATCCGAGCATTTACTCATTCAGCTCCCCGACTAGCAAACAAGAACATGAGATGCTCACACACTATAGAAATCTAGATTGCCAGCCATTCAAGACGCTAATCAACACAAGCCCTCTAGATAAAATGCTGTCTGTACAAATAAAGGAGAACTGCTTCATCAACCCGCGATTACCAATTCATAACATGGGAGGGCAAATGAATGAAGCAAAGTTTTAGAGAACCAATTCTCAATCCACCATTACCAACTCAAAACATAGAACAACGCCTATACCAAGGTTTTCATATGGACTATATCTTATTCTCCACAGGACCCAGTGTCAGAAAACATGATTCCACAGCGCAAATACAAAAATCCTAGATCAAGCGTTTGCTCGTTATACCTTCAAAAATACTTAAACCCAGGCCTCAATTTCTTCACTTGTACTCGAAATTCGGCACCGGAGGCGCATCAAAGCTCTCCAGAATCTGAACCTTGCTCCCTCCACTATCCTTGGATTCCTCCTCCTTCCCACCTCCGAACCAGCCTCCGAACCAAGAAGAGCCTAGTTCTGAACCAGACAAGCTTTCCGGTACGGGTTGACCCGGCAAGCCCATGGGTACACCAGGGGCCGGACCCGGTTCTTCCATCATGATCGGTGCGTCTTGCGGAGCACTGAGAACCTTATTGAGAGCGATCCCTGCTCCTTCGATGAGAGCCAAGAGAACGCCGCCGAAAAGAGCCGATCGAGCGGAGGCTCCGAGGCCCTGACGCATCGAGAGGAACCCTCCGGTGGCGGCTCCGGCGAAGATCGAATTCCATGGATCCTCCTTCTGACGAGCGTAGACCATCGTGCAATCGAAGGCGGAGAAGAGGCCTCCCCACACGGCGAAGCTCCCACCGACTCGTGGCGCATTCATCCTCACCGCCTGAACTCCGCCGGAGACGCGAGATCCGATGGGAGAGTTGTAGACGCCCTTGAGAAAGTGAAAGGCAGAGCCGCCGACAGCGCCCATGCCGAAGGCGCCGCCGATGTCGTCCAGGATCCTGTCGGGACACGGTTCTCGGGATGTCTCTGGAGTTCCCATGGATTCTTCTCTGCTTCTACTTGGGATTAATTGATCGGAGCTTTCAGAGGGAGACGACGACGAAGGAAAAGGACGAGGAGAAGAAGAACCCTAGGAGCGCCTCTTCACGCGGGCATTTTGCAAAAGACCATATGGTGTGGGGAGTTTATGAGTATTACGGAATAACCCTCGATTGAAATGCGAAATGACGAGAATACCCTCTCTCCCACACATTCCCCTTCACTTTATGAAAGAGGTCGACGTCCACATGCAGTATGCACCAATAATCATCCGGATTTATAGCAAGAATACAGAGGTGAATGCATAGGTTTGGTCTGAAATATTTGCAATTGAATCCAACTATAAATTATTTCGTATTGGTAAAAGTTTAGGTTTTAGTCCAAATGAATATGAAATAAAACATGGTTTTGGCCGCCCGGTTCGGATTGGAGATCAATTAAGATTGGACAGAACAATTTTGAACCAGATCCAATATAACCAAGAGAAGTTTGTAACAAACAGAGAGACAAATCCCATATGGACCCATGATAAGATGATGCATAAAAGTGAAACGAGAGGGTGACTGTAAGAAACCCTTCACTTCTGCAGGTCCCCAATGTAGAAATCTTCGATCATGTCGAAAACTCGGGTGGCATGTTGTGGCCTGTAAAGGGTAAAAGATGGGGAAACACACGCATCAACCGAAATTTCGGGGCGATATAAAACCATTGCCCGAGTCAGATCAGAAAACATCATCAACATTCCAAAAATTTTGATCTACGATCATTTTCAGACATTTTAATTGAGCTTTTTTGATGATGTGACGGCTGATTCAGATCGTTGGTGCAGTACCAAACTATATATTAGAGCATAAACTTTATCAAATACCCGAGAATTTACGATATTTGACAATTGGTTCCTATGGGGTATGAACAAATACGGCGGGGAAGGAAGAAAACAAATACCCGAAAAATCCTTCAGTGGAATCATCCCCCGCATGATCTAGAATGGCGTCGCCACCTGGGTGTTCTTCCACATATGATGTAACATCATACACCTGCAAAAGTTACACCAAATATCGGAAGGAAACAAGTATATAAACGGCTGTTTATTAGGTGACAAATATTCGTCATAGATGCGAAATGGTTCCGACTGGACAAAGCTGAAAGTGTAGATTAGCAACTTTATCTTTGATGATGATCCAACAATCCGTTCTTCTGTTGTGTAATGAAACTTCAGCCTTTGTGAAACTTTTGGGACCCTGAGACAAATTCAAGAACAAAAAAACAACAAGACCGACATTCGGTATTTCATTTTCAGATGACTAGCAATGATACTCCTTTTCATACATTAAGGACAGGTCCTATAATAAGACTGCAAAATTTAGGAGTCGGTAATAATACGAGCTGAACACAAACCAATGCATTCACCATACATGAAAATCGGTAATGACATGGCTATCATTTACGATAACAACACAATTCAGGCTTCAGCGGATGATACAATCTGAAAGTAAACTAACCCTTTTACCGTATGATGTTTAGTATTCAGATTTAAAAGCCTAGAAGGAGAGCCATTAGCTTATCAAACATGTAAACCTATTATTTAAGAGCAGAAAAACCGAGTGAAACCAAACAGAACTACACCCCTTATATCATTTATAAGTTTATACCCTTTTGTGGTTTTTTGTATAAGCAAAGTTCTTCACTAATATTTTGAATTTCTTTTTCAATGCTCGTGCTTTTCCTGTGACGTCCTTAAGAAAGTTCTCCCTCGCCTCTTAAGTTGATGCATATTACGTCTTCTATCAAACACCTCTTAACAATCTCAAGCCTTTTTTTCGTCATTTCGAGCCAGATTTCGTTAACAACAGGAGCTTGCAATGTAACTTTGCATCACATCAGAGATTTTTTTTTTTTTTTTTTTTGTTAAAGCAACTCTTCAATTAGCACCATTCCAACTCAGAGTATGATCTGAAGATAATCAACACATTGCAAATCTTTCCAATACTACATCGCCATTCTACTTATCAACCATTTCAAGCGTACCCAAGAGAAAGAAATCCATGGAGATAAACTAGACTGGCTAAATCAACATAAACCCCAACCATGTCCAACAAGACGATTCTTAATATGAACACCGAATTGAAGGATGTGAGAGTTTGAACTGACAAACCTTGTCCTTGACATTTGTGCTGTCATTTGATTGGCCCTTGTGGCTACGACCTGCAAAGAACGACAACACACCAAGTCGAAATCAGCGAGCCATTCAGACATGACAGAAGCGAACTACATAAGCACTTGCAAGAGAATTACCCGACGCCCGCTTTCCCTGAATTAAGAACAGAGCAGACACTAAGAAGCCCAGAAGCAACCCGAAAAGAGCTATCATCATCACCTCTCAGCTCACTGGCGAAGATAGAACCCTGAGGGCTCGACCGAGATCGATCGAGGTGGGAAAGAGAGAGAATAGACAGATCTAGGTTTTAGGTGGTTTTGTAATTTTAATTTGAACGAGGGTATTTTGATAATTATATAATTCTGAAAACACCAAATTCAACTTAAACTAAATTTAAGAAGGAAAAAAAAATAACATAAAATTGGGAAAAGAGTCTTTTTAACAAACTCAAATTTCCAAAAACACAATTTTCGTTCTGCAAAATCTGTATCTGAATCTAGGGGTGGTCCCTTTTGCTTATTCACCGAGAACCGAACCACCATCAAAACTGAATCCGACGTACAAATCGGAGGTTTATAATTTCCTAAAAAAATAATCGAGTTCGATTAAAAAAAATAATCGAAAAAATTGATATTTTAAAAAAAAATGAGTTTTTTATATTAAAAAATTCAATTCGAACCGAATTTTAAATAAAAATTAAATGTTAATAGAAAATATATATTCTTCTTAATAAAACTGAAAACAAATTAAATGAATCAAAATTGAACCGCATATAATAACTAACTGATTGACACATATTTTCATATTTTTCAATAACCCGAACTGGTCAAGTATAATGCCAAAACTTTTACAATTAATAAAAGGATTAGAATTGAAAGAATAGTCAGAATTGATTAGTTTTCTGTAAAAATGAAAATTTTAAAAGAAAATTAGATATTTAACAAAAAAAAATACATATTAAACAAAGTAGTAAAAATGGAAAGAAGATTTAAGTTACAAGAAAAAGTCACTCCAAGGAAAAAAATCATATATTGAAAACAATGTAAAAACTATTTTTTTAAAAATCATAATTTTCTTCTGTTTTTTTTTTTTTTTGGAAAAGACAAGTGAGACACACGTATTAAACTAAAAAAAGAACAGAAGCATGTTCTTATTATGTTTTTTATTTCACCCATTACATTCTTAAACTAAATTAAATAAATTGGCAATTGGATATGAAAAAAGAATATGTAATATAATTTCAATCTGACCTATTTAACGACTTATAATTGATAGTGTTAGATATGATCCTGTGCATTTAAGTAATTTCTAAAACGGGCGGCACATATGATATTGGCACAATCATGCGTTATATCATTTTGGGGCAGATCTAACAGTCATAGATGATACACCGTCACCTTTAAGAAGAAAAACTTGAAATACTTCTTAATGCAAAATATTTGATATTAATAATAGCACAATATTTGTTGGTTATTGAAAATATGTCAGAATCGAGTAAAAAATAATATCGAAATCATTTCGGTTAAATAGTATATCCATTAACACACTATTTTTTGAAATAATTTAAAAACCTATTAAAATTCTAATAAAATACAGTATGATGTCCGAAAGATTCGTTGTAATGAAGAACTATGTAAAATAACTACAACATAAAATAAAAAACAAAAAGAAACATTTTTCCTTAAATGGGAAAAAACAGTACATTTCTGTCAGCATGCGTACTGAGTAACTTATCTTTCTCCGCCACCGTCACCTTCCGGTAAGATCTGGAAGTTCAACGAAAAATTCCGGCGAGGAGGGTCGATTTTTCCGGCGGAAAAATGGGGGAGAAGGAGATGGAGAGACAGAGCATATACAGAGCGGCGAGGAGCGTGAAACGGAGGGACAACAGCATCTACAACGCTCTCCGATCGATATACGAAGACTCGACGTTCGTGGGAGAGATCCGTGAGCTATGGCCGGAGATTCCTCTGGTGGCGAATCTCCGGTGCGGTCTCTGGTACTGGCGGAGGTTCGACGCCACCTGCTACTTCAAATCAACGGATGGGCACACCAACAATCTCTCCTTCAACACCTCCCGTCTCAATCTCCATCTCCCTCTTCTCGCTGGTGACCCTCTCTCTCCCTTTCACTCGAATCCATTGTCAGATACCCATGGAGAATAATTTTGTGAAACAATTGTCTTCAAGTAAAAAAAAAAAAACAGATTTTCCCCTTTCACTGCCTTAGTTTGCGTGTCTCCACATGGCTAAGAAGTTGACGAGCAAACGGCAATATAACACAATTCTAGAGGATTTGCCTTGTAAACACATAAATGGTTCCCCTTAAACATTTTAGCTTTTAATCAAACATTCGAGTTTTACTGTTCATATATGAAATTTCTATAACTGTTTCAAGTTTAAAAGTTTATTCAATTCAGTTGTATAAATCTAGAGAAACGAATGTGTTCGGTAAGAGTAAAACAAGGTAAAAGATTCGAGTTGTACAACTTCGTTTGAGATGTGCCTTGGCATGTCTAACGTTTGTTTAGTACTTATTTACATGTGACATTGTTATCATAAAATGAATTAGATCATGTATCTTAGGTATTGTATGTTCGTTTTTATTTGAAGAGAACACTTGTTTTCCTTGGGTAGGACAGAAAGGAGGATGTATAATAGTTGATTCTACCCGGAAAGGAAAACGATTTCCAGACAGCATGTCGAAAACAATACCCATATGGGCGTGCGTGTTGAATCGTTACATGTTCAATCACTTCAAGAAATCTCACAATGAGCGGTTCGTCCAGGAGGTGAGTAACAATAATGCCCATGATGTGCATTAGAAGTTTAACAAGACTTAGTTGAGTTTGTGGTCTCGAGATTGAGCTAAAGATTATGCGTCACTGCATTAGTTGATTCTTACCCCAGTGTTATATATCTTGTAGAAGATCGGAGATGTATCATGAAACTTCTGATGAAATCTCGTATTTGAATAGGGGTCAACCAGCAGTGAGCAAAACGGTGATAACATTTTGGCCGGATGGGATTGTTCTTTACATCTACCGCTTTGGGTACCAGAAACTGAAAAAGCCGCCATTGAAGATCGGTTGGAAGAGTGGACGAGACAATTAGATGAGAGCGGAGCTGATATAACGTCTATTGTTTCATGCTTGAGAAAGCCTTTACGTCCGCTTTGGATTTCACAGAAAACGCTGATATGGTTGAATGAAGTGCCAGAGCACGATTCATGGGATTTTACCCCGATCATCCTTCTTTCTGCCTCAGCATCGTCGGGCGAAGTTCAGTGTAGAAAAAGTTCGGAACTGAGTTGGAGTTATATACCGGGAGCTGGAGATGATGAAGAAAGTTGGGCTAAGGGATTATCACCGAAACTTTTCTGGACTCATGTCGATGATCTTATTGACTCGGGCCCTGACTTGTGCAACCAGAAAGTAGCGGAGATTATCGAGAATGACAGAGTATATTGTGCCCAAAGAGGTCAGGAGGCTCCTCAAGTTTCTAGTCGCATTGATAGTGTTACTACTGGTGCAGAGATGACATTTTCGGAGAATTCAAACCCCGAGCTTTTGATGAAGAATCCTGATGAGGAATGCTTGATATTTTGGCTTGGATCAACGAATCTCGCCATCGGACCTTCACATATCGGTAAAAAACTTCACTTTTTTTTTTTTGTATCGAATTCACATTTCGTGCACATTTATCCATCTCTAGAAAGTCATTCTTCATTCTAAATAATTGGTTTTAGAATTGAAGTAAAAAAAAAAACTCTCTCTCTCTCTCTCTCAATCTCTTAATCCTCTCATTGACCATTGCTTCTCTTTTTCTTGCAGCAGCTTATAATGTTACGGGTTTTGATTACGTATTAAATTGCGATCAAAACCCCATCGTTGAAGCTCATCCTGAAGCTCATTTGCATCTACCAATGACGGTAAGCCTATAAGGAACAAAATGAACTCTTTAACCTCTATCATCAACATCCCCTTAATCCCTAGTTTATTTGGGATCGACCGCATGGATTCTTCGTTTTCACTCATTTCGGTAATTCGGTTTCGATTTTGCTCTTCC